ACTGTATAATTCCCAGTGTTCTTGGTTTAAGCGCCGTGTTCCCACAGGAACACATTACCACAGAATTCACTGGGCAGGTGCACTAAGCTGGGGGAACACAAAACAATTTCTTTCTATGCTGGAATTTCACATCTGCTTGGAGTTCTGAAATGCAACAGGAATGCCCATGAATGTAAAGCTTTCATCTAATTAACAAGTAAGTTTAATATACTGGTATTTTTTCTTTAGAGACTGTTCTCTCTGGTACCAAACTACTTGGTAACTCTATATCTGTTTTATATTTGTCGTATTTGACAAAAAAAGCTCTGGTGTGGTTCTCCTGGGTGCTGGAGGGTGATTCAGCCATCAGTTGCATACATGGAGACACAGGACAGCCTGGGAGACTCTGCCTCCCTTCCCAGGGTGGGGTCATTTGGGAGGCAGTGAAGTGGCCACCAAGCATCAAAAGCTCTTTGAACAAACAGGAATCTGTTCCTAACATGATTTAGAAGTTAAATTTGCAGTGGTCCAGGATCTGTTACCCTTAATCTGGATCATCTATTCATACTTGTTTAGTGTTCTGGAAAGAATTCTACAAACTGGGAAAGAAAGAACAGTGTGAGTGTTGGCTGCAGAAGTTTGAGTGTTGGCTGCCAAGCTGTGACTCACAGCTTGGTCACCCTCTCCTGCCTCAGGGCTTGTCCCCAGTCCAGGGTTTGCTGCACCAATGGCTCTCCTGCCCATGTGCAAAAATCTCCATTTGAAGGTACAAAGACAAAATTAATGGCAAGAAAGAACACCACAAATTCCAAAATTCAGAGTCCAGCCCTGTAGATTTTCCGTGTGCAAATCATTTATTGATTAAAATGGGATTTGCAACTGCACAAGAAGAGAAAAAAAAGCTGGTCTGAAAGCTTCCCATGAGACAAATAGAGCCTGCTTGAAATTAGGTGTGATTTGGTATTCTGGCCTATTAAATATATTAGATATGCAGAAAGGCAGATCAGGGACAAGCCACTGAAGTTCAAGGAGTTGTCCAACCTGCCCAAGTGCTCATTTAAACACACGCTTTTGTTCCTGAGAAAATTAAATAACTTAAGGTCCTTCTCTCTCCAACTCCAATTTTTATAATAGTGCCTCATCAGATGTGAAATCATTAATTAAAGAAGATTCCTCAATTATTCTCTGTGACCTGTCACAGTTACTTGTTTAGTCAGCGTTAAGAATTCAGCAGCATCTTCAAAGGCTTTTCAAGACACCACCTGTGAACTAATTACACTGAAGGAGGAGACGTTTGTAAGTACCTCCAGCTCCTGGTGCTGCCTGACAAAATAGATACCAACCCTGGCCTTAATTTTTTTAACTTTTTGTAGCTAATTCTACATGTTTTAAGCATTGCCACTTCAAATTAGGAAAGTAAATCCCCAAATGTAAAAAAAAGGGCTCCAGCAGAGAAATGCATAAGTGTATCACCAGGCCCTCAAACGCTGGGTGGGTTTGCAAATTATGTCTGAGATGGTTTGTCTCCTATTTGGAACTGCGAGGGATCCTTCAGGATTCCTACAGATTCCTCAGTTCCTACAAAAAGTAACTTCCTAGTTTGGGCTTTGAGAAAGATCCTGGAAAATTCAACAAGTGATGTTGAACAGCCTGTCAGTCGTTTACTTTGATTTCTGGGAGATCCTTGACCTGCAACTCTCCCTCTTCTACCTGCAGTTAAATGTTGACTCAGTTTGGGGTGTTTTCAAAACCTTTAGCTCCATGTTGAAACCCTACAAAGGATCTGTGTCCTTCCAGCAGCAAAACCTTCTCCAGGAAAAACATCCAGTGGAGCTGCACTGAAGTGGTAAAGGATGGTGGTAATTAACCAATTAGCTGCAAAGCCTTGAGTAAGCAGGAGGGAGGCTGATGCTCTGTGTTCTGACTAATGCAAGACACAAGACAAAAACGATTTTCTACAGATTATCCACATTTTGTGTTCCTGCAGGAGGGAAGCAGGACAGACAGACAGTGATCCAACAAGCTCTGTGGCTAAAACCTCCTGGGATGACTTAAACAAAGCCAGAAATTTTGTCCCTGCCCATGGCAGGGGTTGGAACAAGATGATCTTTAAGGTCCCTTTCAACACAAACCAGTCTAGGACTCTACGATAAATCTTGTTTTACTGTCATATTTTACTGTTGAAAGCAGCTACAGATGAATAACTGAGGTTTTCTGTCCCCATTTCCCACCCCAACCTCCTGCCTAATGCTGCAGCACACGAGGGACTCTGTTTCTGACACTGGAAACTTCTGAATTGCCTCTGCAGCTGTAGAAGTTGGTAGCAATAGTGATGGTATTACCCAGCTATTTACCAGCTAAAAGTTAGCCAAGTAGAGGGACTATGACAGTGTTATTTCATTATGTAATGCCAATAGAACAGTTCAGTGGCAATGCCACTGCTGATACCAGAGCTAAGTTCCAGGAAGAAGGACTCAATCCTAAATTTTCAACCATTTGGAGAACTTCCTTTGAAAAATCCCACCCCTTCTGTTGTCTTTCAGTGGAAAAGATATCTTTCAACTGCAAACTGATCTCAGAGTCCTTCCCTCGGTCATTTAAAGTTGGACTAGCTCGTGTGGCTTCAGAACTATTACAACTTAACAGCTTCTAAATTTTCCCTCTGTTGCATTCAAATGTTTTCATATTTTCAATTTTATATTGTATTTGGCAAACGACCTCTATATTTAGGACTGTGCCCTCAGAATTAAGACAGAGATCACTATAAAAGGATGTTATTCATTTCCATTCCCCCATCTTCACCCTGCTCCCAAAAATACATATGATTTTGCTCATTCATCAAAAATTTCTACAGCAGTAAGAATTCAAACACATCTCAAAACTGTGTTACTTGAACATATTTTTTTTTAAAGTGAGAAAAGCTGTGCTCTTTGTTGTAGTGTTTACTTATGGAAATTAAAACCCAAAATGTTACTAGAGACCATTCCAACCACAGCCATACAGCAGAAACCATCACTCTCTGAACAAAGCTTGGAATAAGATCAGGCTAAGGGGACTTTTTAAGGAATTACAAATCCCAGTGTTAACACACAGACCGAGGTCTCCTATCACCACTTTGCACGATCGACATATCAATGACTCTTTTCTTCTTCTCAGCTTCTGTTAACTCTAAAAATAATTCCTTAGCTTATTTTCAACTGCTTGGGCGTCCAAAGCAAACCATGGAAAATCACAAGGAAAGGCGCTTTCATTGTAAGCACTATCAGCTTTTTGCAGTGAAGTCCATCCCTCCCCTCCCGCTGTTGGGTTAGCAATGGGGGCGGTCCTACATTGCTCAGGGTTCTACTGCTGTTTGTGGTCAGCCACAGGAGATTCCCTGCACATAAAGGACACTGAGCTTTAGGGAGCTCAGGGCTGTTCAGGGCACAGGAGAAGGCAGAGAGGCAACACCTCTGTGCCCCGAGTGTCCCCACAGAGGACCCCAGGGATTGCCCTTCCTAAGCCTTTAATTAAAAGCTACAAAGATTTATTCTCTTGTCTTGCTACTCCTCTAAGTCTGAAGCTGTTGGAACCTCCCGCTGGCTGCAACTCTTGGTTTAATCTGCTTTTTTTAACTGATGAGTGGATCACCTCAATTGTTGTGCCTTTCTGGTGCAGTCTTTCCAATCATTTTATCTCAATTTGGAAATAAAATTATAGTTAAGGTGAAGGTTTTGCCAGAGGAAAATTTTCCTTGTGTTTGTCTCCCAGATAATCCTGATCTTGCTTCCCAGACTCCTACTTGGAGGAGACCTGAGCATTGCACATCTTACTACATCATGCACATGGAAATAATATCAACCTGCTGGGTCTGATACTGTAACTGCACCACAGGGAAACTGTTTAATGTGGATCAACAGAAGCTGGACCATGGTATGTAAGGCTCCTGCCTGCCCCTTCCAAACCCTTTGAGAAGCATGTGGGGACCTTGTTACAGGCTGACCTGATCTGAAAACATCTTTTACCCAGCTCTGGGCTGGGCAGCTCCTGTTCAACAGCCTGTGCTAGGCTGATTGAGTCCAGAAGAGACCACAAAGATGCTCTGAGGGCTGGAGGTGTTCACCTGGAGAAGGCTCCGGGGAGATCTTAGAGCCTGTTCCAGTGCCTAAAGGGGCTCCAAGGGAAATGGAGAAGGACTTTGTATAAGGGCCTGGAAAGACAGGACAAGGAGGAATGGCTTCCCACTGCCAGAGGGCAGGGTTAGATGGGATATTGGGAAGGAATTCTTCCCTGTGAAGGTGGTGAGGCCCTGGCACAGGTTGCCCAGAGATGCTGTGGCTGCCCCATCCCTGGAAGTGTCCAAGGGCAGGTTGGATAGGGCTTGGAGCAATCTGATCTAGTGGAAAATGTCCCTGCCTGGGGCAGGGGGTGGGATTGGATGGGCTTTGAGGTCCCTCCGAGTCCAAACCAGTCTGTGATTCTGAGAGAAGCTCCACTGAGAGTGTCCTGTTGAGGAGCAGCAACAGGAAATCCCCAAGGACATCAGGATGTACTATGAACAGTCAACCACCTGCCAAGCACAAGGGCAGATGTTTCAGCTCTCCATGAACGCCTTCTGACACTGTAAATGGGAAGGAGCTCGCAACAGGCCCTTGGATCCATCCTACAAGTCACTCAGTGATGAGACAGCAAGATATTTGTCAGCCTCAACCCAACATTCATGTTTACAGCAACACCAGGGGAGAGTCAGGAAGAGCCAGATCATCACAAGAGCACAGAATCGCCCGCGCGGCGTTAGCCAGGAGAGACCGAATGGCAGGAACAGAGATGCGGGAGGGGTCTGCTCAGAACGGGAGAGAAGAGGACAAGAAATGAAGCCTGGAGGGAAGACACACCAATGACAGCACAAAGACAGAAGGAGACAGTCCAGCACTACCACAACAAGCTGCCCGTAACCAGCTCCGGTCACTGACACGGCAATGCATTGGGATGAGTCCCTCAGGAGTACCCAACATCCTGTGGGAATGTGTGTGGATACTGACCTGGGCTTGAGACAGCACTAGAGGTAGTAGGCTCAATAATTTCTACAAAAAGGGAAAAGGAAAAAAAAAAAAGAGAACATTTGGGAGTTAATCACACATGGAAGACAAATACAGAATGAGACAGCAAACAGTCATGCAACAGACAGCACAGTTTTATTTCCAGATTGGGCTGGGCACCACCGGCCCCTGACAAACCTGCAGGCGACCAGACTCCTGTGCCTATGAACTACAGCAGGGCTGCTCTTTGCCCAGCTACCTTGTGTGAACAGCACCAGGACCATCACACTCCCAATATGCAAATATTTTTGCCCTTGGAGTTCTCGAGCTCCAAACCATTTCTCCTGGGAGGTCCTAAAACCTGGCTGGAAAAAACGGTTTGCTCACTTCATCAAAGGCAATTTCCTTCCATGAATATAAGTCAAGGTAACAATTTTGAACAAAGAATGTTTTAAAGCAATAGTTTTGTGCTTCAGTGAACTTTTAAGAAGGCACATCTTTTTAATTACTGAAGTCTTTCCAGAAGAAAACATTTCTCAGAAACATCAAACCCATTTGGAAGTTGTTTACTTCCCCCGGGGCAACCAATGCAAACAACAGGCAAAGTTAAGAGAAGACACAGTTCTCCTGCATCCAGCCTAATGAAACAATCACCTGTGGCTTTTCATTATAATTTGACTTCAGAATTCATTATTCTGGGCCTTTTCATTAGCTTTGAATAGTGCTATGCAAAATGAAATACCAGTCCCAATTAATCTTGCACAGAAGCAAACTCCCATCTCAATGCAACAATTCAATACTCTTCATAAAAAAGGTTTAACAAAATTACCAAGCTCAAAAGATCATTGACCATATCTTGCCTATAACAAGAAACTAATGAAAAAAAATGTGAGCAAGTTGACTACAGGGCTGCGCAGGGAATAGCTGAGCACACGCACCGCTCTTGGCCAAATTTGAGGGGTTTTTTCCCCTTACAATTCCTTTTCAGGTTAATATGATGCAAAAACGAGTCCAATGAAATAACAGACAAATATTTTCCCAAATAAAAAGTTGTGACTATGGCTTTTTACAAAGGCAAAAGTTCCTCTTGTTGCGGAATAACACCATTCTTTCCAACAATCAAGTAAATTAACATACTCACTAAGTACAGTATTTCATTAAAAAGCAAAATACCATTCCCAAACCAGCAGGGACTGTGCTACGATCGTGCCTCTTTGGATCTAGACTTAATTATAGGTGCTTAAGGTGGCATAAAGTCACATATTCATGGCATCATTGAGGCTGGAAGCGAAGGTGGTAATATCCATGTATTATTCTTGCAAAAAATCTCATTTTTAAATATATTACTAGATCAAGGAATTGGTGAGACGGATCTATTTCTAGTTTCAAGTTCTAAAACTCTTTTCAAATCTTTATTCATGAAAATGTTCAGGTCTGTAGAGAGAAAACAAAACCAGCTGGTTTTCTATAAGCACGCTCGGCTGGTTCATTAAAATGAAAATATATTAATGACTTCTTAGCAACACTGGGAGGCAGGGATGTGTGGGGAAGAGTGGGACTGGCTCTACTTCATTTTCCTGGGACCCCAGTCCTACAGTATCAGCACTGCTCAGACTTTCAGGGGTGCTTGTGGAAAAAAAATCTGCAAGTATAATGGAAAACCATGATATTCTGTGCCACTTTTGTGACTCCAGTGGAGAATTCTCCTTGAGCTGAACTTTTGGGATTTGTTTTATAAAGCAGAGGAACAGCAATGTGTTCACAGCAGCCCCTGGTTTGGCCTTGACAGACTTGGGGCTGTCTGTGTGCAGGACCTTGTGTTATCTCCAGAGTTGTCTGTTCTGGGGAGGCAGGTGTGAACCAAAACCATCTCCTCAGTTTAAAGCAGAGCTTTAATTCAGGCTGGGACCAAAGAGATAGAAACAAGAACATCCTGAGCATAGGGATACTGCTATAGCATTCCTGGCTGCTACACATACATGGAAAACAGGGGATTTCTGTCCGTATCTGGCCTGAATTTCTTCCAGTGAAGAAATTTAGTGAAGAAATTTTCCCTAGTATCTAATTTAAACCTGCCCTGGTGCAACAGAGAAATGCACTGACAGGCCCTGGTGTAATCCCATTCCCAGGAGAAATGTATGCAGGAATCTCCACCCCATTGTCATGGGAAAAGGCAAAATGTCATGTTCTCTTCAAAATCGGTTTTGGTTGTTGGTGGTGTGTGTGTGCTGGATCTGAGTGCTGGAAATGACCTGAGAATCAGCGGCTGAGTGAGTTTAAATGAAGTGGAAGAATAAACCCCCCAGATTTGTAACTGCAGCTCTAATCCTCAAAAGAGAAACCTTTGGAGAATATAAGCTCCTAAAGACACCTGGGCAGGGGAGGTGAGGTTTGATGTCACGGACATTTAATGCTGCCTTTCACCAAAGGGAAGAGATGGTAGCTAGAAATTCCTTTCTGATCCCAGGCAGAAAATAGCTGGCAGAGAAAAGCTCTTAACAAAATGGGAAACCACCCCATGAAAGGCTCCACAGCAAAAGGAGGCAAATTGCAGGGAGCAAAAGGAATTGGCTGTAAAGAAGCAATGCCTGGGAAAACCAGAACAGCATCTTGGAAAGGAAGCCACAGCATACATTCCCTGACCCCAGAGATCATGGAATATCTGAGGCTGGAAAAGACCTCCAAGATCATCCTGAATGCCACTATTCCCACTAAACCATAACATGAAGGCTTGAGATACCTCAGAGAAATGGGAGCCCTTCTGCTCACAAAGAAATTAAGCAGGACCTAAAAATATTTTTGTCTCAGTTTTAACACAGGCTTAAGGCTGAAGTTCTGCATAACAACATAGAAATGGAAAATGCCAGAGCAGAGTTAAAGCAAAATTCAATCAGCTCAGGAGGCCGAGGTCAGAGGGATTTAAATATGTTTGCACATAAAATTGTCAAAACAACAGTAAATTCATGGGGAGAGGAGGACAGCAGGGGCAGCAGGATTGAGAATTACAGACGTGTTCCAGGAGGGCAAGACCCACAGCTATAGCTTCATGGCATCCAGGGCCTCAGAAAATATGAGCTATTAAAGGATATAGGCAGGTAAAAATAAGCAGGTAAATAAAACTGGCTATCAGTTTACTAGAGACCAATTACTTGTAATTATTTGCCTAGAAAATGTCCCTGTATATGATTAAGGAACAGAGCAATTCATGACCCCCCTGTTTGCATGAGCAGAGGGTACAAACTGAGGGCGGATGAGTTCAGAAATGCAGTGTGGGGCTGCAGCTTTCCAGCCTTGCTGTCCTCACACTGCTCCTCATTGGACCTCAGGAAAGGAAAACTAACTCCTTCAGGAGAAAATCCCATCAACCGAGGGAAGGAATTCTGCAGGGAGCAGCCTGCACTGTGAGGGGATTAGATCCAATGCCCAGGTGTCCTCCCAGGCCCAGCCTCTTCAGAGCAAAATGAGCTTTTCTTATACCCAAGAGATCACGGAAAACTCAGCAACAGTAAACAACCCTTCGTTTCAGGCTAAGCCTGAACAAACCAGACAGAAGAGTGTCTGACTCCCAGATAAAAACCATCCAACCCCAGGTACCTCCTCTCCCAGCTCCCAGCCCATAGCACCCAGCATGGACATGGAGCTGCCCCTGGAATGCACACTGGAGAGTTCTTATGTCTTTTCGTTTCAAACACTAACAGAGACGATGATCTTTTTCAGTTTTCTGGAGCCCCTCTCAGCTCGAGCTCAGTGCCAGCCCCTTGCTGGGACTGTGACAGAACAAGGCTTGAGTTAAAGCCAGGAACCCAATTTTTCGCTACAATGGTACCTTATTTTATCACCCTGCAGCTGGTCCAAAATGAAACTGTTGGGCTTGGTGCAATTAATACTGCTAGGGGGATAGAGGTTTTTAAAAATGAAAAAATATGCTTTATTATGAGTAAAGCCATGTGCCACACTCCAATTCTGGTTTGGGGAATAAAAAACAATGCTATACACAGTTGAGATTTAATGTAATACTGAATTTCTTCACTATTTTGGTGACAGAAAGTTCAACCTGTTTTACAATAAGGATAATGAACAGAAACTCTGAAACATTTTAATTGTTTCTGTAGCCCTTGTGCCATTAGCCCTTGCCATTCTTCAGGGATCTGTCAGGGCAGGTTTTGGTTGGATATCAGGAAAAGGTTCTTCCCCCAGAGGGTGGCTGGGCACTGAACAGGCTCCCCAGGGCAGTGGTCACAGCACCAAGGCTGAGAGAGCTCAGGGAGCATTTGGACAACAAGGAGCATTGGTGGGATTGTTGAGACTGTCATAAGGAGAACAATTCACAACAGGAGAATACAAAAAGCTTCTTTCATTCCAGCCTGGACCAGTAAAATTATTTGACTTTGATATTTCGCCTTCCCATGTATTGGAGGAATCAATAACTGGACCAACATACAACTGGCAGTTAAATACCAACTCATCAGTTAATTAAAAAAAACTCACATAACTCTTTCCATGTATGACCTTTGATAATTAACAGGGCTTATTTAAGCTAATCTCCCCCAGGCTTCATCAGCTTTGTTAAAGATTAATGATTTATTGTGAAATACAGGTCTTTAAGTCCAGTGAAGCCAGAGCCTCTTTGAGAACCATGGCAAATGGAAAAACATATTTAATAAAAAATCTTTAGGGTGCAAACTAAGTGGATTGGGCAGAGACGTGACCTTAATTTATTCTGTGTCTTTCCCTCACCCTTAATATTTTGCAATTACAATTAGTGCTCTTCTACAGGTTTGAGTTATTACACCTTAATTGCCTGGTAATGGTTTATTTTATTTAAATGGTTTATTTTTTTATTACAGGATGATAAATATTTAATAGCTCAATGCCTGTGAGACATTAAAAAATAGTAATTCCTAGTTTGAAGTTTGAGGTCTGAAATTGCTGGGGAGTTTCCTCCCTCCTTGGCCAATCCTCCCTCTCCACCTGCAGCTGTTTGCTTTTGCTTGACAGCAGGTTTTCAATAAATATTCAAATATCTTTTACCCTGTAGAAAACCA